AAGAAGCATACATGCATGGTTCATAATGACTAGCCATGAATCAATGTGGGTTAGCTTGGCTTTTGACTCAAGTTGCAAGCGATCTCATGGTTCACACGGGGCTTCAAAGACCAAACCAAGTGGATCTCAGCCTAATTTGTACACCCATATAACATTCATCAAGCTCACGAAGGTAGAAAACGCATGCAAAGAGGAGTAGCAAGTCAAACATTTAGGGCTCATGAAGGAGCTCTAACACTTAGAAAAATTCCAGCCTCAGAAATCAGTTCTCTGGGCTGGTTTTCTCTTGATTTTTTCATAACTAAAACATATTCAAAATTGAACAAAAATACATGTAGGATACTCACCTTGCTTCCTAGTTTCTCTTTGAAGTATCCCTTGGCCGAGGGAACCAAAAACCTGTCTTCCAAGGGCGCGGGGAACTAGGCTTCTTCAAACTGGAAAATGAGATCTGCAAAGAAGGAACTGACAACGAAGGTTTTTGTTGGTCTCCAAAACCAGAATCAACGACCTCCTTTTCTGACTAATTTGACACTAACCCAAACTAGATGTATTCTAGTTTAATTTTCAAGTCACAGGTATCCTCATATATTCCTCATGTCTCTCAAAAACTCCCACTTTCCCTCACCAGTAACCGTCTGACTTCAACACTTAAAAGATTTCTGGGTTTCTCTCTTGACCCGAGAATGGGCTGCTTTTCGAGGGGATTTTGGGTGGCTTCCCGACATCCATTTGGGGCGTGCGACCTATGGTTGGAAAGCTCTTTGAATTTAGTTCCACTCTCTAGTTGAAGGTTTTGGCTAATTTTGGCTCGAAGTTCACGAAAATCTCACTTTTCTCTCCAAAAGTCAGTCTGGAACTTTTCTGGGTTTATGTTTTTTTTGAGTTGCGTCTGAGGGTGAGTTTTTGGAACGACCGTGAACTCCCTTCCTCTTGTCTCATCCCTTTATTTTTATCCCCCAAAAGAACGTGCTTCAGAGATCCTATCCATCAAATCCAACCCGATTTTTAGCCCGTGATTGCCCACTCACCAAGCCTGCAAACTGAGTCTCTTCACCAACTTTCTGACTCCAAAATCATCATAATTTGCAGCTGTTGAGTGAGCAGGTTTGACTGAGATTATCACGTGTCTTCAGCAGCTTATCCCTGGCAAATTTTTGTCCATTTGCACTCCTAATGATGGTCTCACACCTCGGCCAGAGTTCACGCTGATCGGCTGGCTGAGTAGGATATAGTGGGGCCACAAATTTGGCTACTCAGCAGCCTCGAATTGAGACCAAATCGTGGACCGGTTTTTGGAAGCTAATTTAAGTGCTTTAATCCATTCATTTGGTCGGAATTTTTGATCAGTTTGAAAGTTGAAGTATATTAGTTTAAGATGATAATCAGAATTTGCAATTTTCCATGCCCAAGTTTGCAGGAAAGTCCCTCAAAATTAGCCACTTTCTTGTCCGAGAATGCCCGATTTGAGCCAATTTAGTCCTTTTGGCTTGATCTGATCAATTTTACCTTGCCCGTTTTCAATTTCAAGCTTGATTAGGGGTAAAAATGATGATTTAAGGGCTTGGGGGCAAATTTTACAAATTTTGCGATTTGGTCCCCCAACTTCTGGAAATTGTATTTTGGCCCCAACTTGCTGGTTCATTTGCAATTTGATCCCTCAGGTCTCGGTTAGCTACACTCGAATCCTTGGCCCTTGCTCTTCCGTTTTTTTTTTTTATAGAATAATTCCAAAATATTTTTGTGGAAAAACAAGCTCCAATTTTTTTGAAAATGATTTTTGGGCAAAAAATTTAGGTGTCAACAGCTGCCCCTCTTTGAAGGGGAGCTTGCGGAGGTTCCTTTCAAAGACAAGAGACACCTAAAAATTTTTTGCGGAGGGCATGGGATGGCGCAATGGCTAAAGCATGAGGAATGATTGATTTTTTTTTTATCTATTTTTTTATTATTATTTGGATGTTTTGTTGATTTTTGATTTTTTTTGCTGATTTTTTTTTTTTTAGGGACAAAATTAAAATGACTTTTAGGGACTAAAACCCTGTAAACGTCGGAAAATCCACCTAGGGATTAAAACCCTGTGAGCAGCTAAGATCCCGTCTAGGGACTAAAACCCTATGAACGGCAATAGGAACAACACCTTGAAGGAACGCCTAAGGACTAAAATCCTATGAACGTCAAAGATTTTGCCTAGGGACTAAAACCCTATGAACAACAAAGGACGCCATACCGTGTAAGAACGGACTTTTGGCTACATGAAGAGGTAGTGCCGTGTAAGAACGGACTTTGATCGAAAACAAAGCCATACCGTGTAAGAACGGATTTGTGGCTACATGAAGAGGTTGTGCTGTGTAAGAACGGACTTTGATCGAAAACAAAGCCATACCGTGTAAGAACGGATTTTTGGCTAAATAAAGTCTCACCATATAAAGAAATAAACTCTGGGCTACGAAAGCTCGCCAGGTTGAGGAAAAAGACTCCGGGCTACGAAAGCTCGCCAGGTTGATGGGGTGCTTCGGGCTGCGAAAGCTCACCGGGCAGGGAAAAAGACAGACTCTGGGCTGCGAAAGCTCGCCAGGTCGATGGGGTGCTCCGGGCTACGAAAGCTCGCCAGGCAAGGAAAAAGACTCTGGGCTGCGAAAGCTCGCCAGGTCGATGGGGTGCTCTGGGCTGCGAAAGCTCGCCGAGCAAGGAAAAAAGGCTCTGGGCTGCAAAAGCTCACCAGGTCGGTGGAGGTGCTCCGGGCTGCGAAATCTCACCGGGCAAGGAAAAAGACTCTGGGCTGCGAAAGCTCGCCAAGTCGATAAGGTGCTCCGGGCTGCGAAAGCTCACCGTGCAAAAATTCTGGACTGTAAATATATCAAGCAAAAAGTTTCCGAAATGGCCATTGCACATCTAACGGAATATGTTATAACAGGTGCTCTGATAGGGAAAGCATACCAGGCGAGATCGATGTTATTCGAATGTCATGAATGACACTATCAAAAGAATGCATTCACGGAGAAAGTGTTGATTGCATGAGTGAATCAAACTAAATTCAATTGTTTGGAAAACAGTCAATATCATTCAATATCACAAGATTGTCATTAGGCTTGAGGAATGTCATTAATCATCAAATTCCCTTAGGAGAAAATCTTTTGTCAAAATGATCTTAACTCTTGAAAAGGGCTTGTTAAACATGCCAAACAAGAGCTCCATAGTCGGAAAGGGCTTCTCACAACTCTCAAAAAGGCTGTTTGATCCCATCCATTAATGTGGGAAATGGTCTGATCACTCAGTATACCTCACATGACCACTGTCGAAGGTTTTGAGAATCATTCGCAATAAGTACACGTTGACCAATCTAAGAGGTCTTTTAAAGGACCGTAATATAGGTTTGGTCACGGCTTCAACAATGGATGAGTATTATCGGCTAAGGAATGCAATTATTGTGGATCAGCATCTCCGCCAGGTTTACAAGTCAAGAGACCTTAAGATGAGATAAGATAACCTTGCCCTCCACTTCTTCAAGCGGTAGCTTCTTTGGAAATCCAAACTTCTGCTCGAACCATCCCAATCGGAAGAGACTTTGGAAAGGGTTGTAAGATTGGTTCGGTGAAAGGCTCAAAAGGCTCGAGTTTTTCAGAAAAGATTTAAGAACTGATGATTATCGTGGCATCATTACCATATCATCTCGTCTTAACTCGCCTCGAGAGTCGATCGGCAAATCATTTCGACATAAGAACTTTGCTCTTTTTCTAATGGCTTTCGCCTTTGCAATGGTTTTTCTTTCATGCAAGCATTTTTCTTTCGACATCTTTTTTTTTTTTTTACGAAAGAATTCCTCTCGAGATGCTTTTTTTTTTTTTTACAATGGGCATTGGCCTTGCTTTTACCAGACACACTGCTTTTTCATGCCCTCTAGTTTTCACTTGACTTTTTCTCTTTTGATTATTTTGAGCCCCTAAGACTTTCGAGATTCTTCCACACGTTGTCACACAAGCACCAGTTGCTTTGGTAAATCATGTGCATTGCCCCAGTGTAGGGAGATAATCACCACTCGGGCTTTAGAAATGAATATTCAGGCTCAACTTGGCTAAGCAAAGGGCATAAGTGTTTGGGTAGAGAATGAAACGCTCTTCTTCACTTTGGGATGCTTTGAGCTTCCATTAGGACTCACCTGAAGTTATCACAAAAGATCAATGCAAGTAAGAGCAAAGAAGTCTTTCCCATCTTCTTCGCCAAATGGTGTCAACCAGAACCTCCAAATTTGCCCCATTGTGGGGTGGTTCTTGACAGGGACATTTTGTGAATTCTTTACATTTAAAGGCTCAAATGGGCTTAACTATGATCACCTGTAGTGTGTAGGATATATGAAAGAAATGCCTCTTTTCACTTTGATCCATGTACAATTTGCGAATGAATCTCTCGTCCTAAAACACGGTTTTTGCACCCAACTTACAAAGTGTTTATAGGACGTGTTTGGGAATGGTTCGCCTTTCTTCATTCTAAGTGCTTCTCGCTTGGCATATTTAACATATTTCCTCTTGTTTCGTCAAGATCACCTGAGTTGATTGATCTCCATTGGGGATTTTGATTCGAAATGAACGTTCCACCAAGCATCGAGGCAACTTTGGACAAGCATGACATTCAAAATTTCTGTGAAAAATTTATTTTCACAATTTCAATTTTTATGCTTGCTTTTCTCAAACTCGCCGAAAACCTTTTTTCTTTATTATTTTGTTTTGTTGTTTTTTTTTGTTCAAAGCAAATTTTCCATTCGACCTTCTTTTGGCATTAAGAAAAAGGGTGCTTACCTGCGGCCTAGTGACTTGGTAACCCCCTCCTTCACATTTAGCTTGTTGGATGCTTGCCAAGACGGTTCAGTTATTTGCGGATCAATTTGCGGATTGTTTGGGACCTGTAAAGTAAGCATGTATGCATGTATGCATGATATGCATGATGTGAATAACTTACAGTGATTCGGATTGCATCGAAAATGATTCTCGAGCCTCGGATTTCATTCAAGGAAAATACTTTTTCACCGAATCGGCGTTTACAGGCTTTGGCAACTCTTGGCCATCCATTTCTACAAGAATTAAAGCACCCCCAGGTAGAACCTTTCTAACGACATACGGACCGTCATAATTTGGAGCGAACTTCCCACCTAATTCGGGTGTGATGGACAACACTTTCCTTAGTACGAGATCTCCGGTTTTAAAATGTCGAGGCCGGACTTTGCGATTGAAAGGCTTGGCAACTCGCTTTTGGTAACATTGACCGTGGCATAAAGCCTTTAGTCTATTCTCATCGATCAAGTTCAACTGATCATATCTCTGTTGAGTCCATTCTTCCTCAGAGAGCTCAGCTTGTGAGAGTATCCTTAATGAAGGAATTTCAACCTCCACAGGCAAAACTGCTTCCATACCATAAACGAGCGAGAAAGGAGTCGCCCCTGTCGAAGTGCGGATCGAAGTTCGATACGCCATCAATGCATAAGGTAGACGTTCATGCCAGTCTCGGTAATTGTCGGCAGTCTTCGACAAGATCTTCTTTATGTTTTTATTGGCTGCCTCTACAGCCCCATTCATTTGTGGACGGTAAGGTGAGGAGTTCAAGTGACGAATATGAAACTCGTTAAGTAAGCCATCTACAACCTTGTTGTTCAGATTTGAGCCATTGTCAGTGATGATCACCTCCGGGACTCCATAACGAGCGATGATGTCACGGCGAATAAACTTGGCCACATTCTTGGCGGTGACATTAGCATATGAGTTCGCCTCGATCCACTTGGTGAAGTAATCGATGGCTACCAAGATGAAGCGATGTCCATTGGAAGCCTTAGGATTAATTGGCCCAATCATATCGATCCCCCACATTGAGAAGGGCCATGGCTCGGACATTTGACGCAATTCATTTGGCGGTACATTGATTTTATCTGCATAGATTTGGCACCGATGACAATAACGAACATGCCGAATACAGTCAGCCTCCATAGCCATCCAGAAGTAACCCAGTCTCATGATTTTTCTGGCCAAAAGATGACCGTTCATGTGCGGACCGCATTCTCCTTCATGAATTTCCTTCATCAACTGATTAGCTTCTCTGGCATCGACGCATTTCAACAAAATTGAGTCAAAGGATCTTTTGTAAAGAGCGTTGCCACTAATGAAGAATTTTGACGCTAGCTTCCTTATGTATTTCTGATCTGTTAGTTCACTTCCAGGAGGATATTCACCCCTTTGAAGATAGTTCATGATGTCGTGATACCACGGCTCCTCATCGGGTTCATCTGCGATCGCCGAACGATGGCGGGACGTGTCGGTATTTCGATTTTCGGTGGCTCAATGTCTAACCCTTCCATGACTTGCAACATTGATGATAACGTGGCCAGGGCGTCGGCAAACTGATTCTGCGATCGGGGTAAATACTCAAAGGAAATCTCATCAAATTCCTTTATTAACTCCTCAAGGAATTCGTGGTAAGGAATCAATTTGGAATCACGGGTTCGCCATTGGCCCTCTGTCTGAAGAATGATGAGGGCGGAATCGCCGTAAACCTGCAGCTTCCTAACTTTCATGTTGACGGCCAATTGCAATCCCAGTATGCAAGCCTCGTATTCTGAGATATTGTTGGTACAAGGAAATGCCAACTTGGCGGCCACAGGGTGATGTTGACCCGTCGGGGAGATAAGAACTGCTCCAGTCCCAGAACCAGCCAGGTTAACGGCACCATCGAAGTACATAGTCCACTTATCGTCCACTATCTCTGAAATGCGCTCTTCTATAGGATCTGACTGATCATGGTCTTCCGACCTTTCGATGTTTTCTGCCAGCATGTCAGCTATAGCTCTTCCCTTGACAGATTTCTGCGTCATGCTGTGGACATCGAATTCGGACACTAGAACTTGCCACTTTGCTAACTTTCCGACCAACGCAGGTTTTTCCAGCAAATATTTGATGGGATCATTCTCAGTTACGAGTAGGATCCGATGATGGAGTGTGTATTGGCGTAAGCGGTGTAATACCCACACCAAAGCCGCACATGTTTTTTCAACTCCGGGGTAATTTATTTCGGATGAAGTAAACTTCTTACTGAGATAGTATACCGCACATTCTTTGTCATCGCTTGGTCTCTTCTGAGCTAGCAAGGCCCCCAACGACTCATCATGAATAGTCAGGTAGAGTATTAACGGCACTCTAGGGACGGGTGGCACCAGGACCGGCGAATGAGAAAGATATTGTTTTATTTTCTCAAATGCCTCTTGACAATCAGTATCCCACTTAACTTTGGCATTTTTCTTCAAGAGCTTGAAAAAAGGTTTAGCCGTCTCAGACAATTGAGAAATGAATCTCGCCACATAGTTGAGTCTTCCTAGCAAACTCCGAATCTCTTTGACAGTTGAAGGAGGCTTCAAATCACAAATGGCCTTAACCTTTGACGGGTCAATTTCAATGCCTCGACTACTGACCATGAACCCCAATAGTTTCCTAGATTTTGCCCCAAACATACATTTGGCGGGGTTAAGTCTTAGCTTGAACCTTCGAAGTCGGTCAAACAACTTCCGCAACACCTCGATGTGGTCTTCTCCATGTTTGGATTTGGCAATCATATCGTCTACGTAGACCTCCACCTCCTTATGCATCATATCGTGGAACAGCGTGACCATTGCTCTTTGGTACGTTGCCCCGGCATTCTTCAAGCCAAAAGGCATTACCTTGTAACAAAAGGTCCCCCAAGGGGTAATGAAGGAGGTCTTACTTTTATCTTCTTCTTTCATCCGAATTTGATTATAGCCAGAAAATCCATCCATAAAAGAAAATAGCTCAAATCCCGCGGTGCTGTCGACCAACACATCGATGTGAGGCAGCGGGAAGTCATCCTTCGGACTTGCTCGATTCAGATCGCGGTAGTCAATACAAACCCTGACCCGACCATCCTTCTTCATAACGGGGACTACATTGGCGATCCAGTCAGAATAGTGCGACACTTCTATGAAGCCCACTTTCAACAACTTCATGACTTCTTCTTCGATCTTCTTGGATAATTCGGGCTTTGTTCTTCTGAGCCTTTGTTTTTTCGGCGGGATACTCGGATCAGTTGGTAGAGCGTGCTCTACAATTTCTCTATCTAACCCCGGCATATCCGCATATGACCACGCGAACACATCTTGGTATTCTTTTAAAAGGTCAACCATCCTTCTAATCTTGATTTTAGAAAGGCCAGCTCCAATCTTGATTTCTCTAACATTCTCCGAATCGCCCAGATTTATTGTAATTGTAGGCTCGCCGGATCTGGCGAGGTGGAGCCTCGGGCGAACTCGACCTCGCCCGAGGCTAGCGAGCTCGAGCTTCGCCGGCCTCGGGCGAGGCTCCACCTCGCCAGATCCGGCGAGGTCGAGCTCGCCTGAGGCCGGCGAGCTCGAGTCTCGCCAGATCGGCGAGGCTAGAGCCTCGCCTGAGGCCGGCGAGGCCTCGGCCTCGCCAGATCGGCGAGAACGAGCTTCGCCGGCCTCCGGCGAGCTCGTCCTCGCCTATGGTCGGTCGCCGGCCACGACGATCGGCCAAAAATAAAGGAAAAAGAAAAAAATAAAAATAAAAATAAAAATAAAAATAAAAAATAATTAAAAATTCGATTTAAAAAAATATTAATTTTTTTTTTATTTTCTTGGATAATGACTTTATGGAAAATATTTTTTAAAAATGTCACATTTTTCGTAAAACAAACAGAACCTCAATTTTAAAAAAAATTATAAAATTTTTTCATTAGCTTTGTATTATATAAAATGTTTTAGCAGTATAATTTTAAAAAAAAATTCATAAGAAACAAATATTCCTAGATTAGGTTAAATATAAAAGTGTTTTAGCAATATGGGTCGGGTCGGGTATGGGTTGGGTATGGGTCGGGTCGGGTATGGGTCGAGATATTTACACTATGAATAAATGGGTCATAAACGGGTTAATGGGTCAATTTGGGTCGGACCATTTATGACCCGACCCAAACCCGACCCGACCCACCCGTTTAACAGGTCTACTGTCGGTATACGTCCTGGAATAGGCAACACGATCATGCAATGATGGGAAATGGAGAAGAAGAAGAAGAAGAAGAAGAAGAAAAAGAAGAAGAAGGAGGGCAGTAACAATTATAATATAATAGAAGAGGGTGATATATTATATAAAGCTGTGAATAGTTATAAGCATGTTCTGCATTGGACCTTGGAACATATGTGTTGTATTGGATATACTTTGCGTAAGAAGTAAAGTTTTGACTCCATAACTAGAAACGCATATTTTATGGCATATAGAGAAATATAAAATGATTGCAATGAACCATATGTTAAAAGTGTAGGATTTGTACATTAAGAAATTCTTAGTAACATATTCTTCTCATTAACGCTACTAATAAAAATATAATTAATGCGTAGCAACTCACATAGCTAGTAAATAAGCAAATGCACTTACATGGGAAAGGGCTCGGCCTAGGGCTCGAATGGAGGGACCATCGGCATCCTCCCGCAGGATCATCTCCAGCGACGAGGAAGAAGATGGAAGCGCCAGCGCTGATGCCGACATCGCCACTGCCGGATAGGTCAGCAAAGGCGGGAAGTTGAAGGAGCCGGCGACGGTGGAGGCCAGCCGAGCCGACTGGAGAGGATACTGGAGATGGCCGCCCAAGCTGGGGAAGTGGTCCATGAGGACCCTAAGGAACCAGAGAGTGACCCAAGCCATGAGCATGACCATGAAGCGCAGGTGGTCGAAGAGCCGCCACCGGTGGGTGGCAGGGGCGAAGGGGCTCTTGGAGGGAGAGGCAGCAGAGACTAGGGTTTTGGCCGCCATGTTCACCGTGGTGGTGAAGATGGAGCTCATGAGAGATGAGGGTGATGATGATGATGGTGAGTAAGGCCTGGTTCTCACGCCATAGCGCTCTATTTCTAGTGATCCTTTCATGGTGTGTTCGTTTTGATTTACGAGGTTTAATGGTTAGTTGGAGAGAGAGAGAGTACGGAGGTTTCCGTGATGGCGCAAAAAGAAGTATTTATAGAGGACAAATGAGAAAATTGGTAGTAAAAGGACAAGAGCAAGAAAAAAGAGAGATAATTTTTGAATCAAATGTCGACAACCGAGTCATTCAAGAACGTAAATAAGTATTTATAAAGGATAAATAAGAAAATTGGTACATGTCGATAACTGAGACACTCAAGAACGTACTATGTATAATAGTGTCACCACGTGTTGCGTTGACGTCATACCATATAAAAATCTTGATTTTTTTTAAATTTGAAGGTCTCTACTTGATATTAATTCAATTCATAAGATTCGATATTTATACCACGAAGGCATGACGGGTGATGTTTTGTATTTTTGACCAAATGTCATAATGTTCTCATAGTCAATGAGCCAAAAGAAGTATAAATATCTATATGTATGTGGCGGGGATAATGTGATTTGGAGTTCGGATCCATTACAGTAGTTATTTCACCACGTTTTGTTGCTTTGGAAAGTAGTGAGAGCTAGCTAGCTTCTTCATTTCCCAATGACCTATGATTCCTTTTTTGTATAAAATAAGTAGGAGCAATAACTATGTATAGGTACCACCGCCCGCAGAGGCTACGTTGGCTTGCGCTCTTGTCCCCCCACGAAGGGATCGGAGTTCGAACCCCAGCGTAGTCGTTAGGGATTCTTAAGTGTGGTGCCGTGGTGGTGGGTCCTGCCCTAGCGTCACCCCAGGTTTACCCTTCCGGCTGTCGGCCGTGCGGGGGGTTCCTGGGTTATCAAAAAAAAAAAAACTATGTATAGGTATGTCGGGTATAAATAAACCCGGATGTCTTAAACTCCATAGGTTGACCTCCTTCGTTTCATTCTTCACTGCTCTTCGGTTTCACTCAAAGTCACTTCCAAAGGCTGTTGCTCCCTACATCTGTTTCTCAAGTTGAGAATTGTTTGTGTGATTGTTCTTAATTTACCGTGAGATTGATAGCCTATTCCGAGCCAAAAAATAATAATAATTAAAAATTATTGTTAAGTCTACTCTTTCAAGAATTTGTGACTCACAACGTGCTGTTACTCTCACAGTGACCCGAAAACTATTATGATAACAAAACCCTATTTCATTTAGGCAGATTTAACTGCGCTCGAAATTTCCTAATGGAGAATAACAATAATAACAATGATTCCGTCCGATCATCCCAACAAAATTTGTACTTTACCTCACAATTGTCTTGGGACTCGTCTAGTGAGTTCCGGATCAAGTACATACACATGCCTGCTCCGCTCTTGCAAACAGTCGAATTTGACGATGATGACCTGACGGTTGGGAGTAATTGGAGGGGCAAATGCCGGAAGGTAGTCCACGCCGAGACGTTTCTCTAGACGAGACACCTATACCTGAAGAAAATGCCGAATGGATTGTGATCTCGATCTGCGCGAAGATTGTCACACCCCAAACTCAACAAGAATAAGGACATGACACGGTCATCCTTTCACCAAAGGACGCAGCCTAAACATAACCAAAACTCACCTAATATCATAATATATGTGTCCACATATATAAACATGATATAGAGTTTATTTGGTTACAATATCAGAGTTAACTATAATCCATCAAAAAGCTAAGTACATAACCAGAAACAAGCTAATACATTAAGCTCCACATCTATGTATAACTCATACCAAAAAGTCCCCACTATCAAAATGTCCACCTCGATATCGAAACTCTCACACTCTACTTGCAGCTCGGTGAAGAACCTGAAAAACAAGTAAGATAAAAGGAATGAGCTATTACAGCTCAGTGAGTAATACATTTCTTCTAAGTAGATCGAGCACCCACTATGCACACAGTTATAAGACCAAACGAAAGCTCTATTAACCCAACATATAACAAACTCCAGATTCAAAATACGTTATATGCTACTTTAAACATCACATTTTTACAATAGAAAAGCTCATTCCAATTAATAATATCAAAGAAGAAACCAATGGTCAAATCCATTGGCCAATCTTGTCAAAAAGCACATGCCAATGGTCTATTCCATTGGCCAATCTCATGCTCAGAAATCTAACTATGATCACGGATAACGCCCAGTGAAAGACGACTAAGATTCCCCCCTTTGCAAGGTCTCCACCTACTATAAGCCGGTGGCTCGGCCCACAAGGATATCCTAGACTAGTATACGCATACTCATAACCCCTCATTAGGTTCAAAAAGACACTGAGCATCAAAATCCACATCCTCCCATACTAGCAAATCCAATCCACAATCAAAATCACCAATATTCAGAAATCATTTCGCAAACGGGTATATAACCCTTCAAAAATCACATTCAAACTAAAGAATTCCTCATAAGTCTTTCACAAAAGGTTTCACAAACCCCTTTACATTCCATAAGTTCAAACCGAAACCAAAAGGAAATCTTCTATTTCAAATACACAAAATGGCAGTAAATACTCGATCCAGTTTTATGCAAACAAAATGCCATTTCTTATATGATAACATATCTATAACATCTCATTTTCTAAACATGAGCTTACAAATTCAAAGAAGAAATAGTACCACTCACCTTGAAAAGCCGAAAAACTAACCTACGGCGATTTCTTGAGCTGACGCACTCGAATACCTAACAATAAATCGAAAAAACGGTATCAAAACAGAGTAAAATGTTACTTCAACTACGACTCAGCTAAACTAGGCTTAGACGCTAATATAACCACTAAAAGGCGCCCTCAAATCGCTCGTCTAAAGCGATTATCCAAAATCGTCCACATTGCGGAGCCTGAGCGCAAAACTTGATTGCGCCATAACTTTCTCCACTAAACTCCAATCTAAGCAAGTTTATAGTCAAAAGAAAGCTCATTCGGAGCACTATAGGAACCCCAACTTGGCAGCCCCAAAATTGAGCCGAAAACCGACGAAAATCGGCCTAAAAGCTGCTGGTCGTGCACTGTTCACTGCGCGCATTCAACTTCAAAAAATCATATCCGGCAAATAGTAAATCCAAATCAGATTCTGTAAAATCTCACGGCTCCGCAACACCATAAACTACCAATTCTATAAAAATTTGTAGCTCTACAACTTAAAAATCTAACTTCGCCGCTCGAATAACACATAACTCCGAATTATACCCGAAAAATATTCAGATTAATTGAACGAGGGGTGCGAATACTTACAGAGCGTTGCATTACGAAGTCGAATCGGCTTAGCGAGACCCTCGCGGTGTAAAGCCCTCTTCTCTTTTCTCTTTTTCTTCTTACTCTTTTCTTTCCTCTCCTTTCTCCTCTTTTCCTCTCTTTTCTTCTGTTTCTGTTCGTGCTCTTGGCTTCTTAAAACGAGCCGAGCATCACTGTTGCTTCTTTTGACTTTTCAACCATTCTCCTCCTTTTTTTTTTTTTAAACCCATATTTTACAAAGATGAACGGCTGTTTAGAAAATGTTCCGGCTCGAGATCGATGACAATGGTGTCTAGAAGGCCATTTGCACGATATGTGCCAGCTTCGCTCTTGCAACTAGCCGAATTCAATGACGATGAGACACAACGGCCTGACAAATATGAGGAATTGGAGGGGCGAATGCCGGAAGGTAGTCCCACACCAAGACGCTTCTCTAGACAAGACACCTACACCTGAAGAAAATGCTAAAAGAACTACGGTCTTGGTCTTCGTGAAGATGAACGTTCACTGTCGAGAAGATATGAATTCGATGACGACGAGACATGACGACTCAACGATTGGGAGGAATTAACGACGATGTGCCGGCTCCGCTCTTGCAAGCAGCCGAATTTGATGACGACAACCTGACTAATGGGAGCAATTGGAGGGGCGAATGCTGGAAGGTAGTGCATGCCAAGACGTTTCTCCAGATGAGACACCTACACCTGAAGAAAACGCCGAACAAATTGTGATCTCCATCTTCACGAAGATGAATAGCCCACCGTCTAGAAAATGTTCCGGCTCGAGGTCGATGACTATGTTGTCTAGAGGGCCATTTGCACGATATGTGCCAGCTTCTCTCTGCAACTAGCCGAATTCAACAACGGCGAGACACAATGACCCAACGATCATGAGGAATTCGAGGGACGAATGCCGTAAGGTAGTCCACGGCAAGACGTTTCTCCATACGAGACACCTACACTTGAAGAAAACACCAAAAGTACTACAGTCTCGGTCTTTGTGAAGATGAATGCCCACTGTCTAGAAGATATGAATTCGACGACGACGAGACATGATGATTCGACAATTGGGAGGAATTGGAGGGGCGAATGCCAGAAGGTAGTCCATGCCAAGACGCTTCTCCAGACGAGACACCTACACTTGAAGAAAACGCGGAACGAACTGTGGTCTTAGTCTTCGCAAAGATAAACGTCGATTGTTTAGATGATATTCTAGTTTGAGGTCGATACCAATGGTGTCAAGAATGCTATTTGCCCGATATGTGCCAGCTTCGCTCTCGTGACTAGCCAAATTCGACGACGATGAGACACAATGACCCAATGATTATGAGGAATTAGAGGGGAAAACGTCCGAAGGTAGTCATGCCAAGACGCTTATCCAAACGAGGCACCTAGTCCTGGAGAAAACACCGAAAGAATCGCGGTCTCAGTTTTCGTGAAGATGAACGTCCACTGTCTAGAAAATATTCCAGCTCGAAGTCGATGCCAATAGTGTCAAGAAGGCCATTTGCACGATATGTGCCAGCTTTGCTCTCGCAACCAATTGAATTCGATGATGACGAGACACGATGACCTGACAATTGGGAGGAATTTCAGTGGCCAACGCTGGAAGGTAGTCCACGCCAAGACGCTTCTCTAGACGAGACACACACCTGAAGAAAACGCCGAAGGAACTGCGGTCTTGGTCTTCATGAAGATGAACGTGCACTGTCTAAATGATATTCTGGCTCAACATCGATGCCGATGGTGTCAAGAAGGCCATTTGCAAGATTGTGGCGGCATTTT